TCATGCATCGCGGAGAAAAATTCATGCATCGCGGGAAAGAAAGTCATGCATCGCGGAGGAAAATTTCATGCATCGTGGGAAAGAAGTCATGCATGCGGAGGAAAAATTCATGTATCGCAGAAAAGGGATTTATGCATTGCAAGAGAAGATTCATGCATCGCGAGAGAAAGAAATCATGCATTGGAAGAGAAGGAAATCATGCATTGCAAGAGAAAGAAGTCATGCATTGTAAGAGAAGAAAACCATGCATTGCAAGGGAAGAAGTCATGCATTGCAAGAAGAGTCATACATCGCGGGAAAAAGATTCATGCATAGCAAGAGAAAGGGTCATGGATTACAAGAAAAAGACTCATGCATCGCAGAGAAAAATTCATGCATCGCGGGAAAGAAAGTCATGCATCGCGGAGGAAAATTTCATGCATCGTGGGAAAGAAGTCATGCATGCGGAGGAAAAATTCATGTATCGCAGAAAAGGGATTTATGCATTGCAAGAGAAGATTCATGCATCGCGAGAGAAAGAAATCATGCATTGGAAGAGAAGAAAGTCATGCATTGCAAGAGAAAGAAGTCATGCATTGTAAGAAAAGAAAACCATGCATTGCAAGAGGAAAAAGTCATGCATTGCAAGAGGAAGAAGTCATGCATTGCAAGAAGAGTCATACATCGCGAGGAAAAATTCATGCATCGCGGGAAAGAAAGTCATGCATCGCAGGAAAGAAAATCATGCATAGCGGGAAAAATCCATGCATCGCAGAAAAAAAAAAACAAAACCATGCATCTAGGAAAAAGAGTAATGCATCGCAAAAAAAAGATTCATGAGACGCAAGCTTTATTAGCTATATATATAAAATTCGGTTTTTTTTTATTTTTCGGCTTTTATTTTTTTAAATCCAAACCAAACCAAAAAACCAAACAAAGTAATTTATTAATCCAAAACCAATCCGAAAAACCAAAAAACCAATCCAAATAAAAAATTGATTTAATTTGATTTGGATATTCGGTTTAATCCGAATAGTGCACACCCCTAGTTCTTTAGATTTGCTTTCATTTTTTTTTTTTTAACATTTCAATGTAGCTTATTTCATCCTTTAATTCCATTTTTTAATATATCATTTAAATACAAAAAAAATGTAATAAATATTTAACAAATATTAGATAAATATTAAAAAGGTAAAAAATAATTATTTCTCCAAAACGTAGCAGCACTATACCTTAGTATCTCTCTAGCTTCCAGTCTATATAAAACGTAGTTAGCAAAGGTCAGTCTGTCTGGCGTTTCCTCGCGTAAAGGACTACTTTGCATCGGCTCTCTCTCGTTAGGTAATTACCGAGGCGAAAGCTGCTCTCTCGAAAGACGGGTTCGTATAAATAACCCCCGATAAGGTCCGATAGACTAGTAGGTTTACCACCAACAGGTTTTGCAACATGCCAATCTTTAGGCGGACATACCATAGTCAGATTTAGCTGGATGGGAAAAATCCCTACATCAAAATTACAAAAACATATGATGCTCGTTTCTTATAAAACCTACCATTCTTACCCTTAATTTCTTTCTTTTGACTTGATATAGATAAATCATTAGTAATAGTTATGAGGTTTCTTTCTAATAAACCCTAAGTCCCTACATACTCTTCAATCCAACAATTGTTCCCTACCATAATAATGAGAAAAAAATTATTTCATCAAAGAAGGTTTTGTATCATGCTGTTGAATACTATGATCTTACAAACAATACACACACAGAAGAAAAAAATATTATCAACTACCTTAAATGGACAACACCTAGCCAGGGTTACAAGCTCAATAGCGATGGATCGTTCATGGGAAGCACAAGACAAGGCGGAACAGGTGGAGTCATCAGGAATAGCAAGGGCAATTGGGTTGTGGGATATATGGGAAACTTCTATATGGCAAATAACATGAAAGCTGAATGGATAGCACTCTTGCAGGGACTTCGAATAGCACTAGAAAGAGGATTAGTACCATTGGAAGTTAACGTTGATTGCAAGGAAATTAAAACCCTCATTCGAGGAGAACACCCCACTTACGAAAATATTCTTTCTGATTGCAGGGATCTACTTCACCGTCTGTGGAACCCCACAGTACACCACGTCTTTAGAGAAACAAACAAGTGGCAGACGCTCTAGCAAAGGAAGATGCTAAAATGGATCAAATCAACTCTTTTTTGTGCATGGAAGTTCCTCCGGTGTTTGTATCCAAGAAACTAGAAGCAGACAAACAAGAAAATCCATTTGTTAGACTATCTAAGAAATCTTTTGCAAGTAACTCAGATAATAGTACTAGTAATAGTGTGCCCTTTGTAATTAACTCATGTAATAGAACTAGTAATAGTATGCCCCTTCCTCAGAACACCAATAGTAGGTGTCCTATTTTGCCACTTGCTGGTAACAATGTAATGATGCATATTACGTAATCTATAGATACTAGTAAATTAGGCCGCGCTTCACGCGATCATGTAAAACATCAACACATATATGAGATTAAATAAATAAATTAACAAAATGAACTCATTCCTAAGTTTATTCAAGTTATAAGAGAGATTTTATATCTCAGCATTTAAATTGGAAATAAATTAATTGGATTTTGTGTTTTTTTTTTTACACCTTGATTATCGTTGTAGCTTGTAATTATGACTATTGTTTTAGGATGATTTGTTAGGCTATTGTAATATTTTCTCATGACCGTATTCATTTACATTATTTCTCTCTATTCTACTTTGAATTTTTGTTTTCTTGAGCAGGTCTATTGAAAATAGCCTGTCTACGTATTAGATATTGATAAAGTCTGAATATATTCTATCCTCCATAGATCTGCTTTGTGAAATTATATTGAATTTGTTGATATTATTATTGTCCCAATTTTTTTTTATATAATAATTTCTTGTCTTAATTTATATAGGAAAAAGCTCCATTATAAAATTGAGAATTATATATATAAATCAATACTCCAACCACATTACAGAAACAACTCATATCACTTGCTCAATCTAGTGTACTTGAGAAATCAATAGAAAAAACTCAAGGACATAAAAAAGAACTTCAATAATTTAGCTTTTAAATAGTTGCACAATTATGGGCTAATTGAATTATTCGATCTCATATTTTCTTGAACAAAACTTAGAAGAATTGTTATAAAGATAAAATGTATGTTGTAAAAGCGCGAATTCAAAGCCAAAGCCAGAGCAATGAATCCTTAGTTATAGCCTACACACATATATACAAAAATATAGTAGCAATAAAAGAATATGATCACAGGCAAACTTCCAATCATATTAAACGAAAAACAATGAGAATCATGAACAAAGAAAACCACCCGAACAATAAAAATTATTACTTTAATACAAAAATGTACATTAGGCCATGTACTTTAACATGGAGCTAACCAATTTAATCCACCAAAAATGCAACATGAAGAAAAGGAATCAGCAGCAGGATATCAAAGGGAATTCATCTGTGCAAGTGTGGCTGCTTTTATGTGAAGTTAAACAATAAGATGCTACATGTTGAGAAGGATAGCAAATTTTATTCAAGAAAAAATATATTAAAGGACTAAAAAGAAAAATCATAATTGAAAAATCTAAAAAAACCAAATGCTATCAAAAGTAAAACAAAACTTTTGCAAAACAGTACAGTACATATGAGTATTGTCTTGTTTGATTTATATATACAAATAAAGATTGAACATTTATATTCTAAATGAATACCACATTTAATATTTATTAAAATTATAGAAAATGGGATAGAGAAAGAGTGTAAGAGTAATGAAGGTAATAAAGAAAAAGTGACTATTGGAATGTATTGAAGTGATAGCCTAATATAAGTAATTTGTATTGTAATTACTAATTCATTACATAAAATAAATATTACTGTGGTCATGAAGAGAAGAAAATCAAATATTTAGAGTTGTTAAAAAAAAAGAAAAAGAAGGTTCTAGGAGGATCTATATTAAATATAGGTGTAAGTCATAGATAATTACTTCTTATAAACAAATTAAATAATATTAGAAAAATACTTAGAGTATAAAAAATATTGTCAATTTATAATTTATAATTAGAAGAAGATAAAAAAAAGGAATAATTTTGTATGAGTAGAAATTAGAGAGGTGTGAGTTACTCCTTGTAGACATATAAAGAGTTTTTGTTGTAAATGTTTCTTCATTTAACAAAACATTTATATATCATAAATTTAGTAATTTATTTTTACAATAAAATAGTTAATTTAAATTTTAAAAAAAGGTCAAAAAATGGAGAAAAAAATAAATGCGAATGGAGATCATAGAGAGGTGCTACATCACCTTCTATATGTTTCTCCTTTATTATTTATATATAGATTATTGTGGTAATTATTATACATGTCTCAAAATAGGTTTTTATATGTGTCATTTTAAGGAGTTGTAAATTTGTATATTAAATATTTGAAGGTTATGAATATGAACGGTTAGGAGTTATAGACATTATTAAATTAATTAAGATTTAAGTTTATGTAATTGAAGAGGTATGAATTAAGAAGATGACTTTATAAAATAAAATAATTGAAAAAGATTGGAAAAAATGTCAAAAAAATTATAATATATATATTGATGTTATTTATATTTCTTCTCCTGTTTTTGGCTTTTATCGTTATTGCGTTTAACTTTTCTCTTTTTTACTTATTAATTTATGCACTATATATTAATTCCACATTAGTCTTGCTTTATTATTTCAATAAAACCTGAAAAGTGAAACATCCACTCTCTTCTTTAACCAATTAGAAAATAAATGTTCATCATTTCTAATAAATTAAATTATATGCTTACACTTTGTATAAATGATATGTATATAGTTTGTTTGGATGGAAAGTGCAATAGCATATAATATTAGACTTCTTTTTTTTTTTTTTTCTTCTTTCATATTTTTCATTGAGGTATCAACTATATTTTTTTAATTGATTATATGATACAATTTTTGGAGCTGGTCATTTTTAATTACTACGTAATAATAATAGAAATGTTTATACGTAATTCACAATTAATTTGTATATATGACTTTTCTTTAACACTTTAAACACAAATTTTTTATTAAGAAAACTAAAGGAAGAAATTTAAATTTTTTCTTAATCAATAAGAGATTTTAATATATATATGATCTCTAATTTTAGTATACATATAAGTTTTATTATTTTTATATTAAAATTTTATAATGTCTCTAATTATAAGATAACAATATGAAATATTAAATGATATCATGAACATGACTATTAACATAATTTAGGATTTGTGATCATTAAAAATCATGAAAGTAAGAACAATAAAGACAATTAAATATCAAATAATTTTATGAACATGACTATATTAATATAATTTAGAAGTTATATGATCATCAAATGTCATGAAAGTAAGGAAAATACAGGCAATTAAAATTTTATGTGAAAGAATATGAATAAATGAAGGAGTAGTAATTGACATATTTATTTTTATACAATAATAAGAAATATATAAACAAAAAAAATTATCAAGAAAATGAGAAAAAAAGAAAAAGATAAATATGATTCTTGGCAAAAAAAAGGTGTCATATCACTTTTCTTCTAGATAATTTATATGTTGGTAAAGAAAGTAGCTTGAGAGAGGCAAATAGTTTTACCAAATTATTTTTATCCTAACCAAATACTTTTACATTTTGAGTTCGGACCCAACAAATCATAATAATGATCTCTAAAAATCTCAAAACTTGAAAACTTCTAACAATAATAATAAAAAAAAAATCAAAATATGAAGATTGCATAGTTACATATTAATAATCTATTTTTATATGAAATAAACTGTATCTTGAAAATTGCAAATCAACTTTATATTTTTATGTTCTATCATTATAATTAATAAAAATTGATCCACATAACAACAAAATTATCTACATACTTTCTTGAGTAGCATACATGTATATGTTAACTCCCTTTTCTACTTTTATTTTTAAAAATATCTTGTCTTGAAAACACGACAAGTTAACCTTACAACAACACAACAACAACAACAACAACAAAAAACATAAAAGTAAAGTTAACTAATCAAGTAAAAACTTTAAAGAATATTCAATTATGAGTTGAAGAGGAAAGAAGGACCATGTTCTCAACATAACATAATTCAATTCTCCAAAACCTACAAAGAGAAGAAGAGAGTAAAAATAATCAGATTCTTTAGAAACTACAAAAAATAAGTAAAAATAAATGAGATCTTAAGAAACCACAAAGAGAAGCAAAAGAGAAAAAAATTACATCAGTTTCTAAAAAATATATTCATGATTTGTATCATCTAGAATCCAAAAAAATAGTATTAAATATATAATTACAATAGGAAAAAGCGATAATTATAACATTTTACCTCATAAAATCCAACTGTGTAAAACATTCTTCATTATACATATCTTTCCTGCAAAATAAGATCAAAGAAGACAAGAAATGACCAATCAAAGAAACACAAGATGAAGAATAAGAAAAATTAAAATGAAATAATCATCATACATGTCTCAAGATAAGTTTTTATAAGTGTCATTTTAAGGAGTTATAAATTTGTATATTAAATAATATGAAGGTTATGACTTATGAATATGAAAGGTTAGGAGTTATAGTTATTACTACATTAATTAAGATTTAAATTTATGTAATTGAAGAGATATGAATTTAGAAGATGATTTTATAAAATAAAATAATTGAGAAAAATTAGAAAGAATGTCAAAAAAACCACAAAAAAGATAAATAAATCCTTGGCCATTGAGAGGTGCCACTGTTGACACCCAATTTTGGCTCTCCATACTTAACTAAAATAATAATAATAATAATAAAATATATATGTTATGAAATTTTTATTGGAACACGAAAAGATTTTTTAATTATTTATTTTTATCTCATAAATTTATTTCAATTTCTTATAAAAATTAAATATATTATATTACTACTTACTTTCTCATTTTTTTTAGTAAGTGTCGTTCTTAAGAATTAAATCTATTTTTGTTCAAATATAATTTCTATTGTCGCAATAGATATTTTTCGTACATTTTTTTAAAATTAGAAAGCTTAATTAATTACTGAGTTACTAATTTATATTAATTTAATTTTAATTGTGACTAATTTTATCAAATAAGCTATTCTTGCAAAATATTTATTTTAATTTAATAAATTATGGCTATTTAATAAAGAAAGTAGTTATAATTTAAATGAATTTAATTTGAGCAAATTTGACAATCCAAGTCTTCTTAAACAGGCCAATCCGTGTATGCCATGTAGGCGAGCACATGGATTGTGCTTCTTTATCTTAAGTCTTGACCAAAAGAAAGAAGTTTGAGGCGATGGGGAGTTGTACTATCTTTGAAAAGTCTTGATTTAATTTTGGTCGTCCGATCAAGCAATCAAATGGTTAATAAAATAAAGGTTTTTAATTTTACCATTATATATATATATATATATATATATTATTTTTATTTATTTTATTTTTTTATTATTTTTTTTCTTTTCCTTTTAATCCCTGATTTATCATAACCGTCCGATCAAACGATCGGACGGCCCAAATTAGATAAGACCTTTTCATCTATTTCAAAATAGTACAACCTATCAGCCGCCTGCCATCTCGTTCCTTTCCCAGAAACATTTCACGCTTCATCTCCCATCAAGCATTCTCCTCCTCTGCCAACGTTTCTACCTACGGACCACCGGAAAATGGCAATTTCTGGTGGTCTTCAACATATCTCCCTACCCTCCATCAATCATAGCTTCCCTCTTGTCAACTTTACATCCCTTCCATCATCTTTGTTGAACCGAAACAGACCTCAAAAACCCCCTACCACCGTCGCTGCTACAACTGAAAATGTGGAGAACGTGAAGGACCATCAGATTTGGGATCATTATCCCCTTAATCCGATGGTTGTGAGATTGGAACCCCCAAGTCATCACTCATTCTTTCAAATCAATCTAAAAAATGGTTGATAATATTTTCTTCTAAGATTTTATCTTTCAAAGATTCAAATTCGAATCATTGAAGCCTCCCCTAACTATAAAAGGAGGAGTTTGGTTCTCATTCGAATCAATCAAAGAACGACAGAAAAGAGGTACAAAAGCACACTTCAAGCATTAGGTTTTTCAGAAAATTTCGATCTGCTTTCAACTTTTTGTTTCGATTTTGAATTCGCGTTTCGAGAGTAAGTTTGAAGTTGGAATCCTTGACGAAACGCTCCTAGTTTGCTGCCCCACACAAGGTCAGTAGTCTCCCTTATTGTTAGCCTCCTAAAAATCGATTATGGTTGTTTGAATGTTCTCATGTTTGATTTAGTTTTGTATTATAAATGGTTTTTCCATAATCTACCTTATCTTGACTTTGATACAAAATCAACACGTAAATAGTTTTTATTTTTTTTATTTTTTATGTAGTGATACTTGTATCTTGTTAGAAACTTGAATTCAAAATGAGTAAGGATCAGTCTTTGACATAATCCCCATTAACAATCAATATACAAGATTTGATTATATGAGGAACTTAAGTTATCTGTTAATTCTTTTTTTTAATTTCCATTCTGTGATGATTTGAGTGGGTTGTTGGTGATCGTTTAAGCCCCCCCCCCCACCCCAAACTCGTTATTTATCTAGTTAATTCTTTTCGTTGTTACTATTAGGAAGAAGTAGAGTTTGTTTCCTATAATAATATGAAGTAATAGTCAAATTATGAATATCTTTGAGGAAAGTGGACAGAAATATTTGATAGGAGAAAGAGTTATCCAAGTTTGAATGATAGTGATTCTGTTTTGGTGGTTAGGTATTAGCTTCTTTTTTATCGAATGAAAAGTTTCGTTGTTATCGGCTTAATCTTCTTCTTCTTTTGAAATGAATAAAATAAATTTATAAAATAAATTTGACATGACGATGACCTCTCCAGGAACTATTTCTTGCCTAAAAAAAGTAATGTTACAGACCCTTTTTTTTATTTTAAATATACATGAAATTGTACACCATGTGCATTACTCATACAATAGTTCCATCTAGTATGCAAAATGATTGATAGTATTCTCTCACTGTCCCTCATATAAACTATGCAAATATTTGTTACATCCCTCTTCGGATATTTCGTGTTAACATTATTTACTTCTCTTTTTGGACTTAAAAGAATAAACATATGTTCCTATGCTTTAGAAAATGGTTGGAGATACATTAAACCTTCCATCGTATGTAGAAAACATATTTATATGCTACCTGATTATATAATGTTTACTTATCAAGTCTTCTGATAAATATAGTGTCCATTTGCTAATTATTTTTCCTCTTGATATGTTTCATGTACAACCGGAGGGCTGTAGTTTCTACTTTGGAACTCGTTATTGGCCTAAAGTATTAGGCCAACAGCAAGTAGGATCATCGCAATGCTTGGAGTCTCGCGAATTAGGAGTCTAATGTTTTCTTAGCCTTTCTTTCGTTGTCCTATTTATGTTGTTTTGATATGTTGGCTAACCTTTACTTACAAGTTTTTGATATATTGCTTGGCTTTTATTTTGAAGTTTATTTACGTGAAGCTAATATTATTTGTTTTATGAATTTCGTTGAGACACCTTTAGAACAAATGATACAAAATAAATTTTCTTAAAAAAATGGGTTAGCATTTTCACTTATAACATTCCTTCAGTCCTTTTAAGTTGAAAAGAGGGGTTATAGTTTTTAAAGTTTTCCAAATGAAGTTTCAAAAGGTTAAAATAATATTTGTTTAGTGTTCATAATTGGGGAAAAGAAATATATATCGACTTAGGCCTTTATCTTAAGGAATAGGAAAATTTATCATCTAAAAATTCTCAATTGAAGTTTTAAAAGGTGAAATAATATTCATTTAGGTACTTAAGTAGGAAAAAATAAAACTCATGAATTGGGACTTCCAAATGAATTTAGAGATACATAAAGGCTAAAAATAATTAACTTTAAGATAATTAACTTGTGGAATTTTTTTTTAAAAATGTGACTAGAATGAGTCCTAATAGTTAGACCTATTTTTATACTCTTTACATCACCCCTTATAAAATGTATTGACTATTCTTATTTTTCGAATCAAGCATTGCTAAAATTATTTTAATCTTGTAACACGCTATTTCAAATTTTATTTTTATACTCTTTACATGACCTCTTTATAAAGTATATTGACTATTCTTACTCTTTTTGGATCAAACATTGCTAAAAATATTTTAATCTTTTAACATGCCATTTCAAAATTTTAGATATGCCAACAGGTTCAAATACAAGGTACATACATATATATGTCATACATATAAAAGTATATATTCTATATTTTCTCCACATAACCTAGTATTATATACTATCTCTTTTACTAATGTTATTTATTTATTTTTATAATTTATAAATGCCTACACTTAAATATACATATTACTTTACTACATATAATCTATCGTCAATTTGTCTATACATGTAAATAAATAATAAGTGTTCATATGTTCTAAACAACTTACATGTATATACTATACTTTATAATAAACATAATTTTAGATCACAAACTCTATCTAATATTTTAACATTTTAGTATCATTATTATTTATTTATTTTAATTTTTTTTAGGAAACTCTATTTTTATCCAAATTACATATTACATACTACTATATATTTACACTCAACTACTATCTTATTTTATTTTGCGTCTTAATAAGACGATAGATTTTCGCAAATTCAACATCTATATATTTTTAGGATAAGTTTATTATGATACAAATATATTTTTTACGTATGAATTTATCATACATTTTAAGTACACTTATTTATTTATTTTACAATATGATAGACATACTACTATTTTATAAGACATATATATATATGTCGTACCTTGTACTGTACTCTTTTCTTAAACTAACTAATTAACTTATCATTTAATTTTTGAAGCAAATAAATAAACAAGTTTTTCTAATCATATTTTTTCTAAATTGAGTTTAAGGACTTTCTTTAGATAGGCTCTGAGGGGTGCTTAACACCTTCCCCTTGAGTAACCGAAACCCTTACTCAGAATCTCATTGGTTTCGCAAATCGAAACAGAGTTTACATTTACACATATAAAAAATGGTTTTCCTAATATTTTCCTTAAAATTTAGGTGGCGACTCTAAAACAAACAAAACAATTTTTTTTTCCAAAAAACAGAGTGTCAGCCATATTATGTTGTGAACTGTTTCGGCCGATTCGAAATAGGGTGCGACAACCACATCACTTCTTTTTTATCTAGATTTATATATGATATGATTACTCTGTTTTGAACCAAAAAAAAAACAATCGTTCCCTATTCTTAAGATATGAAACCCTCGATTATTATCAATTATTTGTTCAATATTCGGCATATGAAAATTTGTATAATCTTTTACTTAAACCTAGCTTATTTCACAAATGAAATATCATCAACATTAACTTGAATTATATCACCAAACACAAAGGAACTAGGGATGGACGTTCGATTTTTTTCTAACTCCGATTCGATACTTCAATTTTTAATTTGTTAGTGGCGTCTGCCGAATATGTATGTAATGACCCTAAAGGTCATTTTTGGAAATTTT